GCCACTGAGCAAGCTGGAACTCCACCTGTGGGGCTTGGGAGTCAGCATGAAACTGTGTAACTTCCTTGTTTATTTTCTTCCCCTTTCTGTTCCCCTGTGGTCAAGAGCAGTAAAAACCTTCAGAAGCTTCACAAGAGCTGTCTGTATACTGGCTCAGGGCACGGGGGGGTAGGGGAAAGTGTGGTGAGGCTGCAAGGGGACTGCCTGGGTGGCAGAGGCAAGGACAGGAGCTGGCAGGCCACCACAAGAGCACCTAGGAGAGGAGGAAAGGAGAGTCAACAGGCCCTCTAGATTTCAGAATGAACAGCCAGAGGGCACTTCCCAGGAGGGAGGCCCCAATAAGGCAGCCAGTTGATGACCCCATGGAATCTCAAACTACTTAAGAATATTCATATTCGGGGTGGGGGCCATCTCTAACTGAAATGCCAAGATACCTGATCGTTGTTGTCAGGAGCAGAGACAAGGTGAAAGTCTGGTGTCAGCAGCTAGCCAGGTGAACACCAGTGAAAATAACCCAGTAGCTCGGCTGGATGGACATAAGAGAGTCCCAAATGGCAGGCAAAGGTCTGGGGAATCTGACTGCTGTGAAGACTTAAGACCAGTCCCAGAGAAGCCCACACAATGCCCCCAGGACAGCTGAGAAGGTTGAGAACTCAGCAGCTTCAGGTAGAGGGAGACCCTGGAGTAGAGTTTTCAGCCAAGTACGAAATACTCACAAGGGTTCCCTAGTCTGACAATTGCCCTCTATGGAAATGAAAGCTATAACGCCAAAAATGAGGTATTTGAAATAACAGAGAAAGAGGCATCTGGAGAAGAGATGCTGCTGAAGGAGGGGACTGGTTAAAGTTGGCCCCAATGAACTGCGGAAACCCCAAGAGTCTCCCTACAGGGAGGTGGAGGCCACTGGCCCTTTACTGGCCTGTGCTCACCTTCAAAGGCCATGGTTATACCCAGGTACTAGTCTGTTCAGTTCAGACCACATGATCGTTCTCAACTGTCAGCATGGAAGACCTGCCACCTTGCAAATTGAGCCCAGGAACCAGAGGCTCACAGAGCAGCATTCCGAGGGCAGTGGCAGCGTATTCAAGAGGGATGAAGGGAAATGAACCAGCTGATGGGGAAGACAGTTTCCTAGGAGCCCTGGCTATGACAAATGGAAGGCAGAAAGCCAAGAGCTAAATAGCCTGGATACTATTGTTACAAGAAAGCAGAGCTCTGGAGCACCCTCTGCTGTGGTTAGATGAGGGCTTTGGTACCAGAATGGGTCATTGAATGAGCCATTGCTACTGTTAAGAAGAAATCTTGGCCAGGCCCCCAGTGCAAACCCTCAGAGAGCTGGTGGTGAAAAGCAGCTAACAACCTTTGGAAAACAATGGATAGACAAGCACGAAAAGCCATGTGATTCAAAGGAACATGGCATGGCCTGAAGAATTGGGGAACTAGTTAAACCACTCCAAAAGTGGCCAAGAGCTACAGAGGTCACAGAATAGACTAGTAGAAAAAGGGCGTGAGCAGTAACTGGACATAGTGAGAAGAACCTAGAAGTTCTAAGAGCAGATGCTTAAAGCATCTACAGTCCCATTCACTCCAAGTTTTGGTTTGATTTCACCAGGGCCTGCAGAGCTGTGTCCCAGTGGAAGCATGAGTAAGGACTCAGCCAAGCTCACTTGAACCTATCCTGGATGCCCCAGTACTTCCACATGAAGCTCGGATGATTCTCCACCACCTGAAATACACACGCATGTATACACACGCACACACGGGTGCGCATACACACACACACACACACACACTCGGAGGCTAAGGCTGGCCCTGCTAGTAGTGATAGCACTAGGTAGAATGAAAGGTCACTTCCTAGAACAGCAAGGCACTCCTGGGTTACACACACACGTGCGCATACACACACACACACACACACACACTCGGAGGCTAAGGCTGGCCCTGCTAGTAGTGATAGCACTAGGTAGAATGAAAGGTCACTTCCTAGAACAGCAAGGCACTCCTGGGTTATGCAAATGCAGTCAGCTGAGCCCAAGAAAAAGACCTGAGGACTAGAGTAGGACTAGGAGACCAGGAGGTACCGTCATTCTTGAAATGAGATTGATGCCAGCAATAAGCATTTATTGAGACTGATTGTGCTATGATGGTCCTGTGACATTGCCAGCCTCTCCTCGGGCAAAACCTATAACCACCACGAAGTCATAGAGCACCCCTGCTGGCCAGGCCACAGTTGCAAGGCAGTGACTATGAACAGCATTATGGGCAACCCTGTCTGTAGTAGGGCCCATTCAGCGCTCTTTTCCAACTTTGTTACAATTCTCTATAGACCACCCTAACCAGCTTCTGGATAATTGTGTTTTAATCAACATTTTAGCTTTCTACAGTTCTGCGGCTGTCAGTAACCCTCCTCCTCTAGCCAGCTCATGCTTGTTCAGTGGGCTCATGAATAAAGAAGCCATGATGGCAAGGATGGAAGTTATGAATTGGGCTTAACAAAATGGACTCTCCCTAACCCAAACTGAAAAACTGACCTGGCTACTACCTCCGATGAGCGCCCAGTTTGTCAGAAGCAATAATCGACACTGAGTCCTTCTACGGCTCCTTCCTTCAACAAGTGAGGTTGGGGGCACATGCATTACTTATATATATTGTGGGAGACATCCAACACTGCCTCCAACCAAGGAACTATCCACTGGGAAGATAACACTTCAGTGCACTGTCTACAGGAAGAGGAGGAAGATCTGAAGAGGACATGCGTGGGCCACAATATGTACCTCCCTCTCACACAATAACATAAGCACTCGGAAAACACACAGGTTCACATGTACCCCACACAACATACATGAGCTTACACTCACTAAAGCACAAGCATGTACACACACTGCATATGCCCAGCATTCCCACAGATTCCCTCAGCTATACACAGAGACACATAAGTGCCCAGATACTAGTGAGCATACACAAAGAGCTTGGACATCTCTGCAGGGGCAGCGACCTTTGGCATTCACTGATCTCAAACTTGGACACTGAACCAGGTCCCCAGAGCTTACTGCTTACTGAAACTCAGCCCCCACCTCCAGCTGCTCTGTTAATTGTTTTTGCCAAAGACTCCCATCTCCATCCTGTCTGGAGCGCCACCCATCAGAGGTGGCTTGGAGTTGGGGCCAAGAAGAACATAGTAATCTCCTCATAATGGGGCTATCTTTATGGCACATCTCCTATGGCTGGGACCAACTCCTCCTCCCACATTCCACCCATTAAGAAGTTAGACCTCTCCCTCTCACTTCCTTGCTGGATGGTGTTCCTAGGCTGACAACTGACAAATGAGGAACAGTTTGTGGATGAAGCCCCCTTGTGGGCAGACAGGGGAGAGGACACGTTGTGCTTTGAGCCTTTCCCCACTTGGGTCTGTTTTCCTATTAGGCACACATAGCAGTGAAAAAAACCACTAATATGGAATAGGAATTAGGGAACATTTTTTCTAGCCCCTGAACAACCTTGGGCAAATTGGTTCCCTACTAAGCCTCAGTTTCCCCATCTGTAAAATGGTCTCTAAGTTTCAGCCCTTCTCTAGAAGTGTCAGGAATTACCCCTAGGCAAATCAAGCTTATTGCAAAAAAAAACTCATTACAAGAAGAAAATTCATTTTAATGGAGACTAATCCATATCCATCTGTTCGCTATATGTTATTTCCAAAACTCCTTTCTTAACCTTGTTTTAATACATGCCCAATATCTCAAAAGTTTAGGCTAACTCTTCCCACACACTGGACTAGAGGCCGTCCGGTATGGGACTACATCTCCTCCATCAAACTTCATGAAGAGGCACAAGACTTCCTTGCAAAAGCAAGAGTCAAAATGGGGTCAGGCTGGACACCAGGAAAGAAAACTTGAGAGTCTCTCTCCTAGGAACTATAAGCCACAAAAAACCTCAAGCGAGTTACCTCTCTTCTGACCCTCCCAATTCCTCTCAGATGTGTAAAATCTTTCTCTTCCCTGTTTGTCCCCACTTCTTCCCCGAAGATCTAGTTACTCAGATCCCACCTCTCCTAGATCCCTGCAGTCCAACCCTCCCTGACAGAACCCCATCCCTGCCTCAGTCTTTGCTGCTTCTGCACTCACCAGCCCCTGGGCCAAGGACAGAGAACAGGAACAGCAGCAATAGGACTGGCGGCAGCTGGAGCCCAGACCTGAGACGAGGCTGGGAGAAGGGCAGGATGTGAGAGAGAGGGGTGGGTAGTGGAAGAGACTTAGGTAAACACAGAGATGAGGGAAAAGGAGAAGATAATGGGTTGGGCTGGGCTGGGCACTGGGGTTTGAACAAGGGGAGGGGATGGGATGGAAGGAGGGGCTGTGATGGGGACTGGAGCAAGGGCAGGGTTTGGGCCCGAAGAGTAAGTAAACATTGGGGATGGGGTTGGGACAGGGGCTGGGCTGGGATTTGTGACAGGAGGTGGAACAAGGGTAGAGGCTGGGATGGGGGCCAGGCCAGGGCCTGGGACTGGGACTGGAGGTGGCGCCTGGGCTGGGATTTGGACCTGGGCATTCGCTGGTACCCAGGATGGGGCTGGGACTGATTTGGGAAGCAGGGCGAGGGAGGGGCCGGGGGCCAAGGCCTGGATGGGGATAGGACGAGGGGCCTGGAGAAGGGCTG